TGACCAAAACCAGATGCAATATTCCAAATGTGGTCTTACCCAGGCATCATAAAGTGATAAAGAAAGAGGAAGTCAAACTATTTTCCAAGGCACCTGAGGGTAGAACAAGAAGCAATGGGTGGAAACTAATCAAGGAGGGAACTGAGGAGAAATTTCCTGACAGTTAGAACAATTAATCAGTGGAACAGCTTGCCTCCAGAGGTTGTGAATGCCCCAACACTGGAAGTCATTAAGAAGATGTTGGATAGCCATTTGTCTGAAACGGTATAAGGTTCCCTGCCTAGGCAGGGGGTTGGACTAGAAGACCTCCAAGGTCCCTTCCAACTATTGAATTGTATATTAACTATATCATAAATTAAAAATATTATTATTTTAATCTGAAAAGTCAAAGGGCAATAAATCCATAAAAGGATAATTTGCAATAAACATAATAAAATCGCACCACAGAGTAAGTTTTCATCTGTTTCTAAAAATCTAAAAACTTAAAAATATAATATAACATGAAAGGATATTCTTTTATTCTAGACATACTGTTGACAGTCAACATCCAAATAACTACTTAAGGGATTAGTCAAGAGCAGGCTTTTATCATCCATTTCTCCGTCTCTCACTCAGAAAAGCATAAAGAATAATAATCATCTTCTAACTATAATCTACTTGTATTTTGCACTTGTTCCATCAATCCACTATTAACGTGGAAAATATAAAATACCTGAGCAATATACTGTGTTTTTCGTTTACTGTTAGAATTTTTTTTACCTTGAAGAGATAAAAGATAGGTCTTCATAATTAGAATTTAAAATGTTCTTATATTTTACCAAAAGCTAGATAGACAGAAAAGTCAGAAAATGTGTAGACACCCTGATTCCAGTCAGGAAAATGCATGCTTTGATGAATTAATTGTTTAGCAGTACTTCTTATTAATAGTTATTGTTAACTCCAAATATTTGAATTCTTAGGCTCTTTTTTTTAATACATAAAAATGAACATAGCCAAAGTTTGGATCCAAAATTTAGAAAATGGTTTCACCGTGTCATGTTTTCACAATTGAGAATTTCTTAAAAGTTTGAGTGGGAACTGTTAATCAGAAACTGTCAGCCTCTGTTTCGCTACTTGCTTTCGGCTGCCATTGAAACNATTTATATTTATATTATCTATATCTATATTTATATTTATATCTATATTTATATTTATATTATTTATATTTATATTTATATTTATATTATCTATATTTATATTTATATTTATTTGGGGAGAAGCAGGATTTTTTTCAGATTCCAGTATTTCTTTTCCTTCTAACTGAAACTTGTCTTTTAAAAGAAACTCCAGAACTTGTCATGGAGATGAAGAATTACAGTAGACATATAGCACTTTAATAGGATCCTTTTAAGCATTATTTTATACTAGTTTAAAAATCACTACTCATAATTCCAAAACGTCAGCAGAATCTTTTTTTTTTTTTTCAAATGTGCTGTATTTCCTGAAGATGACAAATTCTTTGTCCGGGGAAAATAGCAGCCAATATGATACAGGCTTTCTAGGAAATACGTTCATGCACTGTTCCAAAACATAGAACATCCTGTATTCCTAACAGTATTCTTTTGACAAAACATGACACTATTGGCTTGGCTTGGCTATGTTTTGGAAATGAGGGAAATAAAGATATTTAAGCATCTTTATTCAGGAGTACAGTAAACTACTGTATCATTCATATTATCTTGGAATGATTACACATGAGACTTAATGTTATATTATATCGCTGATACTATCAGTGATGTAGTTCGTTTATTTAAATGTCCCACCATTAAATAAGTGGTCCTAATCAATTCAGCTTAGCAGCTACACACACACACACACCCCTAATCAGATGCCAAAAAATGAAAATACCTTTAGCCACAAGAGGAAAGCATTATCTTGTCTTAAATACTCATCAATGGAGATAGTGGACCTCTACATGGGCAAAAGTTGGTCTCACAAAGACTTCTGAACAACCAGATATTGTGGCACATCAGAAACTTAAGAAACTTCCTAGTTTTGCTTGCATTACTTGGATTTTGTCCATGTGGGTAAGTCATGGTTTTAAATCATAGCAAATATATGTAGGACTGCTTCCAACACGGCAGAGTTTAATCTATGCACTGATTTATTGAATGAGTGGATTGAGCCTTTGCAAATCTGATTGAAGTTCATGCTTTAAAGTTTGGCTTTGTTCTTGAAAGAATCTCCTCTCCTCCCCCTCTTCCCATGCTCCCCTTTCCACTTTCAACTTCCCACCCACCCACCCACCCACCCATCCATCCTCTTTTCTTCTAGCTCAAAATTTTGATTTGTGTTTTAAAAGCTGCTGAAGAAAAGTGAAACAGCTGGAAAACCAAGGTATATATCAAATGAAAAAACAAATAAAAACCTAAAATCTGTTCACTACATCTGCAACTTCCAGGAAGGTGGTCAAGTTTGTCTTTCATCAAAAAAAAAATCTAATGACAGTTTTTACAAAATTATTATAGGATAAGCTTTCACTGGACCTGATGAGGTCACTGACAAAATTTTCTGAGATGACTGTTGATATCTGAGTGCTTTTTTAAAATGTCAGATTTGCCCTTATGTGTGTTTTTGCACAGAAAATGGTCGGTTTGTTTAATATAAGGTCTAGTAAGCACTAGAAAATGAGAAGCCAGTATGGACTGCTTTGTAAAAATATGGTAAAAGGAATTGATGGAAAAGAGCATATTTGGCATCTGAATCTAGTGTAGGATTTAATTAACTTCTTTGTATTTCTACTACTGTTGCTAGTTAATAGAGGATCTAAATGATGACTACCTGTAGTGTAGATGTACTCTATTAAATTCCAACAATCAATCAGAAGCTGGAAAGCCATCTGTGGAGATTTTTAAAGTTGGATTTCTGTTCTGAGCAAAATATGTGATCGAATTAAATGAGCCTTTTATGTATGGGAGGTAGCAAGTAAGAAACAGATACAATCAATGCTGACTTT